GAATTTGGAAGAACAGTTCTCAGTTTGAAGCTTGAAATTTGAAAGGTTTGACCAAGTTTTGACTTGTTTGTATATGATCTCGGATTGGAATTTTTATGATTTGGTTAGCTCCGTTAGGTGATTTGGGACTTAGGAGCGTGATCGGAATGCATTTTGGAGGTCCGTGGAAGGTTTAGGCTTGAATTGGCGAAATTGAGATTTTGGCATTTTTCGGTTGATAGGTGAGATTTTGATATAAGGGTCGGAATGGAATTTCGGAAGTTGGAGCAGGTCCATTGTGTCATTTGTGACGTGTGTGCAAAATTTCAGGTCATTCGGACGAGGTTTGATAGACTTTCTGATCGAAAGCATAATTTAGAAGATTTTGGAATTCTTAGGCTTGAATCCGATGCAAATTTGGTATTTTAATGTTGTTTTGAGCGTTCCGAACGTTGGAACAGGTTTAAATGATGTTATGGGATATGTTGGCATATTGGGTTGAGGTCCCGAGGGCCTCCGGTGAGTTTCGGGTGGTTAATCGGACCATTTCATGTTGTGAAAAAATTGCAGAATTTTTGCTGTTGGTGTTGCAGGTTTTTGACCTTCGCGTTCGCGATGCATGTCCCACGTTCGCGAAGGTTTAAGGTGTGAGGCTGTGGAATTGGCCTTCGTGTTCGCGAAGATGGTTCCGCGATCGCGAAGGCGTGTGGTCTATGGTCATCGCGATCGCGAGTCTCTTGTCGCGTTCGCATAGAGGAAGGGGGATAGCTGGGTCCCCAATGCTTTTGTCTACGCGTTCGCGTAGTAGAGGTCACGTTCGCGACCTGTTGAGTTTGTTGTGCTTCGCGTTCGCGTGGGTCTATCCGCGTTCGCGTAGAGTAAATTTAGGGTCTGGGAAGCTTGTGCTTCGCGATCGCGATGAGTGTCCCGCGATCGCGATTAAGGAATTTTAAGTGCTGGGCAGAATGTTTTAAAAGCTCATTTCCGCGATTTTAAGGCTAAGTTCCTCCATTTTTGGGCGATTTTGAAGCTTCTTGAAGGGAATTGAAGAGAGAATCAAGGGGGAACACTTGGAGGTATGATTTTTGGACTCTATACTCGATTCTTATGTGAATTCTACCTAATTAATCATGGAATTTAAGCCTAGTATTGAAGAACTAGGGCTTGTATTTGGAGACCTAGAATTTGGGATTTGAGGGGCCATTTGAGGTCCGATTTTGATATTCTTGATATGTTTAGACTCGCGAGTGGATGGGGATTCCATAGATGTTAATTTTGTTGTATTCCGAGACGTGGGCCCGGAGACCGGGTTTGGTCAAATTTGGGATTTTTAGTATAAATTGGATTTTCGAGTGGGCTTTGTTCCCTTAGCATATTTTAATGGTTATGCACTGATTGTGGCTAGATTTGGAGCATCCGGAGGTCGATTCGTGAGGGCAAAGGCATCGCGGGCTAGAGTTTGGACCGGATCGAGGTGAGTAATGATTTTAAATGTTGTCCTGAGGGTATGAAGCCCCGGATTGCACATCGTGGTGCTATATGGAGGTGACGCACACGCTAGATGACGAGCGTGGGGTCGTGCACTGTTGGGGTTGTGACTTAGTCCATCCCGAATGATTGTTTTACCGCGTATTTGATTGAAAACTATTTGTTATCATTAAGTTTTGGCTGAATGCCATACTTGGGCCCTGTGCCAACTATTTGGACCCTTAGGGGATTTTTACTGATATTTCCTCACTATTTGAGCTTATTCTTGTACTCAGTCATGTTATATATCACTGTTTTCATAACTCAGTCATGCTTACTCTGTTTAAATACATTAAATGATATTTTTAAATGACAATTGGACTGAGCATCATGTTTTACTGTTGCCCGAGGGGCTTATGAGATTATGACTTAGTAAGGCCGAGGGCCTGAGATATTTTACGCCACGAGGTGGCTTGTTGATTATGAGGGCGAGGGCCTGAGATATTGTATGCCACGAGGTGGCTTGTTGATATGAGGCCGAGAGCCTATGTGATTATGCCACGAGATGGCTTGATATTGCGCTTGGGCCGTAAGGGGCCCCTCCAGGAGTCTTTACACCCCCAATGAGCGCGAGTACCCAGTGTGATGATTCTGTTTATTATGTGAGGCCGAGGGACGGATTGGTTATGCCACGAGATGGCTTGTTATTGCGCTTGGGCCGTAAGGGGCCCCTTCAGGAGTTTGTACACCCCCAATGAGCGCGGGTACCCATTGTGATATGAGATATAGCCCGAGGGGCTGGTATTGTTCTATGTTATTGCCCAATGGGCTGATTCTGCTGTTATTATGCCCGAGGGGCTGGTATGGTTCTATGTTATTGCCCGAGGGGCTGATTCTGTTATTATTATGCCCGAGGGGCTGGTATGGTTCTATGTTTTTGCCCGAGGGGTTGATTCTGTTGTTATTATGCCCGAGGGACTGGTATTGTTCTATGTGTTTGCCTGAGGGGCTGCTTCTGTTGGTATTATGCCCGAGGGGCTGATTCTATTGATATTGTGCCCGAGGGGCGGTTCTTTACATGCTTATCTTTTCTAGTTGCCTGTCATTTACTTGCTTAATTGTTAAAAAGGCATTTCGAAGAAGCTTAAATTGAGCTAAAGTGACTGTACATATTTTCACTGTTTCACTATTTTTTACTGGCTTTCACTGCTTATTTATAGCCTGTTGATGTGCCTTTACGCGATTTCTTATTACTCAGTCTGCATTTATTATTATTACTCACTGTGTTGGAGTACTCACTTTACTCCCTGCACCTTGTGTGCAGATTCAGATATTTTTGGACCCGGTAGCGGGTATTGGTTGCTTACAGGCAGAGTCATCGGAGTTTAGCAAGGTAGCTGCCCGACGTCCGCAGCACTGCTTTTCTCCCTCCTGATTTCATTAAACTGTATTTAGTGCATTTTCAGAATTTTCCGTTGTATTTAGACATTAGTAGATGCTCGTGACTGGTGACACCCCGATGTCGGGCTATGTCTATTCTGCAATAGTATTATTTACCTTATTTTGGGATTTATTATTATGATTTTAACTTAGTTATATTATTTAATAGCTTAAGAATAAAGTGGGAGTATATCGGCTGGCCTTGTCTTCACGAAAGGCGCCATCACGATTGGGTCCGGGTTTAGGGTCGTGACATCTATCTTGTGAGAACCCTCATAACGTTTTTACTTTGTACCATTAACTTTGTACTGTTATATGTCGTGAAAGAAGTGGATATAAGCATTTTTTATATCCTAAAAACGGTGAAAGTAATATTGGAATTCATTTTCCGATTATCATAGGAGATCAAATCCAAATCTGGCTGCGTATAATTATTATTATTAAATTAGTATTATTAGTGCTAAATTAATCCCTGTATACTTTTACCAGTCAATAGACTCAACATAATAAAGGAAAACTGGACAGGATGAGTATGTGTGAAAAGATATATATATATATAGATGGACAACTAAATATTCTTGCGAAAAATTATCTATTCAAATCCAAATCTGGCATTGTATATTTATAATTCCTTATCTTCTAGTAAGATGATTACTAACCAGTCAAATCTCAGATCTATACAAATACTATCATGCACAATCAACTTTCATGTTCATAAAAATATTATAGAATTATCGATGTCATTAATTACCGATTTTTTATTAGCAATTTGTATTGGTCGCAACAGTATAATGATTAATTTCTGATATCAAATTGAGTTTTTTTTCTTAACGTTTGACCCCAGTTTAGTACTCTATTTGAAGATTGTATCACATAAAATTTTGAAGTGTATTATGGGGCAGGGGAAATTAATTGATGCAATGTGGTACAATAATTGAACTATGCCGACCTAAAAATAGAAATATTTCATATTCGAGTTTCTCCCAAAATATTGATACCTCCTGAGAATTTTCCAAGAAAAATGTTCCGACATATTTTTATATTTATATACGTTGATCACTTGAGAACATGGAATTTAGTATTGTAGGCCTGCTAAGATAATTCCTTATTCAAAAAATTTAACTGTGTATAATTACTTGTGCTATTTCAGTTAGTTTCTTTGTTGGAAATTCAAAACCCCAGCTCAATTTGGACATCAATGGAGGTATGAGGTCTGAACGAGGAAGAAGAGGAAAGGAGAAGGAAGACCGACCAAACTAGGGTTATTTTGATATAACCTAGGATATATGTTGGGTGTTCTTTTGTTTGAAGGAGTTTGGTATAATTGATCACAACCACACATCAAACTTTAGAGTAGTTAATCACAACTACATATCTTTCCATGATGGATCAAATCTGGACCCTTGATTTATTTAACTAGTAGAAGCTTCTTACCTCACCAGAAAACCATGTGAGGGAATATTGTTAGTTAGGATAGAATTTTGCCGTTACAATTAGACAAATACAAATAGGACAAGTGTAAATATTATTTTCTTTTTCTTTATTTTTATTCAATACTCAACTCTTCAGTCATCTATTTCTTCGACTCTGCACAGCTGAATCTTCAAAATCCTTCATGGTATCAGAGCTTTGAGCTCGATCCAACAATAATCATCAATCACCAAACTCTATCCTACAGCTCCAAGTGAGGAAAGATGTCTACAGCTGATGAAACCATAACTGCAGAAACTGGGAACGCTCCTAAGGCAGCAGGATATGACATTAATCACCCATATCATCTTAACAACTCAGATTCACCTGGGATGACCCTAGTCAACACTGTGTTTGATGGAAGAGGTTATTCAGGATGGAAGAGATCCATTCTTCTATCCCTATCAGCCAAGAAGAAACTTGGATTCATCAATGGGGCTTGCAAGGCTCCAGATCTGAACTCTACTAAATATGAGCAGTGGAGCTGTGTCAACGATATGGTTACATCTTGGATTCTAAATGCACTGTCAAAAGAGATTGCTGACAGTGTCATATACTCAAAAACAACTAAGGAACTCTAGGACAGCTTGGAACAAAGATTTGGTAAATCCAATGGTGCCAAACTTTTCCACCTGCAAAAGGAGATGTCAAATTTAACACAAGGTAACAGTGATATTGCTGGATATTTCACCAAACTTAAGAGACTGTGGGATGAATTAGATGCACTAATTGTAATCATAACTTGTCCATGTGTGTGTCTGTGTGAGGGAAAAGCTAAGCTGACTAAGTCTTTGGAAGATCAAAGGTTGATTCAATTTTTGATGGGATTGAATGATGTATATGCACAAGCTAGAGGAAACATTCTTATGATGAGTCATTTGCCTAGCATGGACATTGCATACTCACTACTTTTGCAGGATGAGAACCAAAGGGAAATATATGCAAATGCACATTTCAGTTCAGATTCTGCATCTTTCATGGTCGCCGGACAAGGAAGACAACCAAATGCACAGATTTTTGCTGACTTTGCAGCTTTCATGGCAGCAGGACAAGGAAGGAATAATCAAAGGTTTAGAAATCAGACCTCTGGAGGAACAATGACTGCTCAAAAATTCAACAATCCAGCTCAAAAGGTTGCAAGGCCACAGCGAAATTCAGAGGGAAGAAGAAATACAATCCTAATCTATCTTGTACCTATTGTGGGAAGATAGGACATACACAAGAGGACTGTTACAGACTTATTGGGTTCCCAGATGACTTTGAATTCACTAACCCAAAGACTTATCAGAATCATGTCAAGGCAAATGTGGCAACAACACATGAGGAAGATAATGCAACAGGGCATAACAATGAGACCAACAGTAGCAGTTTTGGACGAAATTTCAGCAAGGAACAAATTGCAGGGATGATGGAGATATACGAACAGGCAAAATCAACAAAGACAGGAAGCTCAGAAATTAATGCCAATGCTGTGGCTGGTACTATTCTAAAATACTCAGGATCAGTTTTTTCTAGTTTGAAATCAGATTCTTGGATAATTGATTCTGGAGCATCAGAACACATGTGCTTTGACCCCAATTCTTTCTTGTTTCTAATTCCACTCCTGTACATTTGAACATTAATTTACCTAACTCTTTCAAGGTAAGTGTTACCTCATATAGGGAGTATCTCCATTCTGCCAGGTCATGTTTTAACTAATGTCCTTCATGTGCCAGATTTTAAATATAATTTGTTATCTATTCATAAGTTCTGTGTCCAATTCAAGTATGATCTTCTACTTACATGTAGTGGGTGTCTGTTCCAGGGCCTTTCAATGAAGAGTCCTTAAGTTTTTGGTGAAGTTAGAGAAGGTCTCTACCTGTTAGAACCCACTAATTTCAAGTCTAGAAGTATGCTTAGTAGTGATGTAATTTCATTTTCAAAAGGAAGAAATTCCATTTTTAGGTCTGCTTTAGGTTCCAAGTAAGTTCATGTTAATATGATACCTGATGTAAAGCTTTGGCATGAAAGGTTGGGTCATGTTCTAATTTCAGCAATGAAACATTTACATTTCTTTCATTGTGCTTCAAATTCTGATTTTATTTGTGATATCTGTCCTAAAGCTAAACAGACTAGGAATCCTTTTCCCATCAGCAACATAAAGTCAAATCATGTTTTTAATCTTATACATATTGATACTTGGGGACCTTACAAATCTAGCACTTATAGTGGTTTTAAATATTTTCTCACTATTGTTGATGACTACAGTAGAGGAACCTGGACATTCTTATTGAGTGCCAAAAGCAATACTTTTCCTATGATTAAGAACTTTCTATCTACGGTGGAGAGACAATTCAATATAAAGGTTAAGATGATAAGATCTGACAATGATTTGGAATTGGGAAAGGGGACACAAGAAACAGATTTTCTTGCATCAAAAGGGATAATACATCAGTTAACTTGTATTGGTACTCCTCAACAAAATGGAATTGCTGAGAGGAAACACAGACATCTCCTAGAGGTTGCAAGGGGATTAATGTTCCAGTCTAAACTACCTATATCATATTGGGGAGAGTTTATTCTAACTGCAACACACATCATAAATAGACTGCCATCCAGAGTACTAAGTGGTAAGACTCCATTTGAAGTCTTTTACAAACAAAAGCCTAAATATGATTATTTGAGGAATTTTGGATGCCTATTCTATGCTTCTACTTTAACACAAGGAAGAAGCAAATTTGATGAGAGAGCAACAACTTGTGTGTTGATTGGATATCCTTTGAATAAAAAAGGATACAAGCTGTTAGAGCTGGAAACTAAGAGGATTTTTGTCTCCAGGGATGTTAAATTTTTTGAGTCACATTTTCCTTTTGCCAAAGTTAAACCTACCTACAATCCTATTTTTTCAGATTCCCCTCTTTCTTTGGATTCCAACTCCTCTCAACCTATACAGGAAGAAATATCATCTACAGTAGATATGGATCTTCACAATCCAACCTCTCCACCATCACCTTCTTTTCAACCTAACTCTTCTGATTCAAACATCACACCTACTTCTCATCAGCCTGTTTCTCCTGTTCCTTACACTAGTCCTCACATATACCCAACCAACTCTCCTATTTCTGCACCTAGACAGGAAATTTCATTAAGGAGGTCTGATAGAATCACACAACAGCCAGTGTATCTTAAGGACTGCGTGTGTAACAGCATCGTGTTTACTGATTTGGACAAGGCATGTTTTTCTCACCCAACTAGGCCTAGTGCCTACTCCTTTTCATCTCTAACCATCAATAATCAACATCTCATCCAGTCCCTATCTACTTTAAATGAACCTAGTAGTTATGAACATGTTTCTCAATATCCAGGTTGGAGAAAAGCCATGGAATCAGAAATTCAAGCTTTGCAAGATAACCAAACTTAGGAAGTGGTTGAGTTGCCTAAAGGGAAGAAGCCATTACATTGTAACTGGGTTTATAAGGTAAAGTACTTATCTGATGGGACCATTGAAAGACTAAAAGCAAGACTTGTAGTAAGGGGGGATATCCAAAGAGAGGGGATAGACTACTGCGAAACTTTTTCTCCAGTAGTCAAAATGACAACTATAAGATGTCTTCTTGCTATTTCATCAAAAGGGGTTGGAATGTGTCTCAATTAGATGTAAATAATGCATTTTTACATGGAGACTTACAAGAGGAAGTGTACATGAAATTTCCAGCATGACTCACCCCTCCTAGTCCTACACATGTTTGTCTATTGAAAAAGTCTTTATATGGATTAAAGCAAGCTTCACGGTAGTGGTATGCTCGACTTGCAGGGGAATTAAGTTTCAAAGGATACTCATCATAATTGAATGATTATTCTCTGTTTTTCAAGAAAACAGGAGGTCTCATATCTATTTTAGCAGTCTATATTGATGATATATTATTAACAGGGGATGATATACAGGAAACTCAAAGCATCAAAGAATTCCTCAATTCTGAATTCAAGGTAAAGGACTTAGGAGACATACATTATTTTCTTGGACTAGAAATTTTGCGAGAAAGTAATGGTTTTATTATCAGTCAACGAAAGTTTACCTTGGATATGCTCAACGAGTTTGATGTCTCTCATTTGCCTCGTGCAACTTCTTCTCTAGATCCATGTTCTAAGCTTCAAGCAGACGATGATCCTCTTATGGACAATCCCACTCTTTATTGGCACTTGGTTGGCAAGCTGAATTATCTTACCAACACACGCCCACATCTCTCCTTTGCTGTTCTCACTTTGAGTCAATACATGCAACGCCCTTGCTTGTCACATTTCTTTGCAGCTTTAAGGGTTCTTAAATATCTGAGTGCTGATCCTGGATAGGGGATTTTGTTGTCCTCTACACCGGATTTTTCTCTCCTTGCTTTTTGTGATATCGACTGGGCCTCTTGCAAAGACACTCGAAGGTCGATGAGTGGTTTCTTCATTACTTTGGGGGGATCTCCGATTTCTTGAAAATCTAAGAAACAAGTATCCATCTCTCTTTCTTCTGCAGAAGCCGAATACCACTCCATGAGGAGAGTCACTGCCAAGTTAACCTGGCTTGTACGTCTCTTTGATGACCTCTCCACTCCTATTACTCTTCCAATTCCCCTTCACTCAGATAGTAAAGCAGCCATTCATATTGCCCGTAACCCTGTTTTCCATGAACGCACAAAGCATGTCGAGCTTGACTGTCACTTTGTGCGTCAACAATTTCTTTCTGGCCTAATATCTTTCTTTTGTGCCATCCAAAGATAAGTTGGCCGATTTATTCTCAAAGCCCCTTTCTGGGGTTTCTCATAAAGGGATTCTGAGCAAGTTGGGGGTCACTACACTCCCCTCCAACTTGAGGAGGGATGTTAGAAATTCAAAACCCCAGCTCAATTTGGACATCAATGGAGGTATGAGGTCTGAACGAGGAAGAAGAGGAAAGGAGAAGGAAGACCGACCAAACTAGGGTTATTTCGATATAACCTAGGATATATGTCGAGTGTTCTTTTATTTGAAGGAGTATGGAATAATTGATCACAGCCACACATCAAACTTTGGAGTAGTTAATCACAACCACATATCTTTCCATGATGGATCAAATCTGGACCCTTGATTTATTTAACTAGTAGAAGCTTCTTACCTCACCAGAAAATCACGTGAGGGAAAATTGTTAGTTAGGATAGAATTTTGCTGTTACAATTAGACAAATACAAATAGGACAAGTGTAAATAGTATTTTCTTTTTCTTTATTTTTATTCAATACTCAATTGTATTATATATACATGTACACACAATTGAATGAATACACAGAAAATTTCTCTAACTCTTCAGCCATCTGTTTCTTCGACTTTGCACGGCTGAATCTTCAAAATCCTTCATCCTTGGACACTTTCAAAATATATTCAAATATCGAATTGTGACCGCGAATAAGTGTTTGTTATATATGATGGAATCGCTTTTCCAGGAAAATATTTAATGAGAAAGTAATTTTCTAGTGCCCGCATTGAAGCCTGACTATATTCGAATTCGCGTCGCGCAAGACCCCATTCGAGAGAAGCCCTCCCTACCAAGTTGGTTTTACATCTATTAATCTCCTCAATTCCAGCTCCATATAAAGTATTCTTACTAGTAACAGTTAATTTTTACCGGTTATTAATTAATTTTTATTGAAAGAGAAAGCAATAGAATAGAATTAGTCAGTGTGAAAGAAAAGATACAGATGGACTGAAACAGTGAAATGGAGATTTTGGCATTGAGTTCCTTGAATTTTGTGGCCAAGTCTTTGGCAGAGAGTGGAAAAATTAACTAGTGTTTTCATCTTGAACGTAACTCTCTATATACATGTATAGTTGAAATCAACTTTCAAAAATATATGTACTTATACTACTTTTGCATTTATCTTTATTTTTTAAATGAGAAGTTTTATTATATACCTCACACAACTGACATTAATTGCGTGGGGCTCCTTTTTGTCTCACAAATTTGTGGACCCCAATCTTACACTTCTGGGTCCACAAAAATCTAGGTCCACAAAACTGTAAGACAAAAAAAATACCTCATACAACATGTGTCAGTTGTATGAAACGCAAAATAAAATTTTCCGATATACTACTGTACTTAAAATTTTAAAATGTTGTCTTATTTTTTGGCAACATCAATTGCTTTCACTTTCACAGACACTGATATGCATAGTCATACTTATTTCGCAGTCAATTATTCATTTCATAGTCATTTTCACACTAAGGTAATATTCCATTTTCAAACATTTTTCGCCTACGACCAAAAGTTTCATATCATCCTTACATCAACATACTCCCTCCTCATTATCTACTCTATTTATTTTATTGAAAAAATTGCAATTAACTTGATTATTTAACGATATTTTATTTTTTTGATTTTGATTAATTAAAATATATTATTTAATCGTAACTTTATTTCCCGATATTATTAGTCATAGCGAATGAATATAATTTGGTGCAAGAATAAAAATACAACACATTATTTTAATAAGAATCTACTTATGTCGGTTAAAGAACAGTAGGATTATCTGATTTTCAAATGTTATTCAAGTACATAATGTTTTCGATTTGTGTGTGAACCTCTGATTCTTGACTTGGTCTTTAGTTCAGTTCACAT